ATACAAGTGAGGAGCTTCCACCAAAACTTCAATTGGAAATTACTAATCTGCTAAAAGACAAATACCAAGAGAAGAACATAATAAAATTCTATAAATGCGTTCCAAGCAATGAATATATTCAATTAAAAGTATATGCTCATGCACTGATACCAGTGTCTAAAGTACTTAGCTGTGCGAAAAGACATTTTCAGAGATGAAATACAGAAAATCTTATTACAGATCAGCATTAACAGAGGAACATTTGCTTTTGATTTTGATGATAGGGAACACTAACTTTTAATCTCAAATGAGGGAAATGCTATCTCTCCCTCCAAAAAGAGAATTCCATTCTTTTCATTATTCATTCACTTACATTACCAAAAAAAGTACTGAATTTCACTATTATTATTGTCTCTTGGATTTTGTTAATAAAAATTTGTGGAATTTTGTTTTCTATCTCATTATTTAAGTACCTACATAATATTCTCATTTTTGCCTCTAAGCCTACAAAGCCTAAAATATTTACTATTTGGCCCTTTACAAGAAAAACTCGGGAATGCTTGATTTAGAGTCTGTAGTACCCAGATCCTGATTCCAATAATAGTAAAGCCAAAGTAAAGTACACCTAACTAAACTCGGTAGGTCACAAGATACTTCATGGCTAGTCAGCCTTTCATTTTCTGTATTAGACTGAACAGGGTTATAAATCTGGGAAACAACATGGAGTCGATCTAGAATAGCCAAATTAAACTTTCCTTAACGACTCAGTACAGAATGTATCCAAGATCTAAGCCAGTGTTCTCAAAAACCAATCAATAAAAGAGGTCTCAAATAAACCAAACTAACAGGACCTGAAATGTTGTTTTTTAGTCATTTCAGTCATGTCTGACTCTTCATGACCTCATTTCATATTTTCTTGGCAAAGATACCAGAGTGGTTTGCCATTTCCTTCTTCAGTACATTTTACAGATGAGGAAACTGAAGCAAACAAGGTTATGTGACCTGCCCAGGGTCACCGGGCTAGTGAGTGTCTGAGGCCAGATTTGAGCTCAGAAAGAGAAGCGTCCAGACTCTATGCCCACTAGTCTATCCACTGTGCCACCTAGCTGCCCCATATGAAATGTATGCAGTCTGATTTTCCAGTAAAAATCAGAGAACGTATATTATAAAGTGGTTATTTGCAGTCATCTGAAGCTAAAAATGATGATAATGAGGATGATGATATACAATTAATAGTATTTATCTAATGCTTTATGCTTTGCATAACACTTTACAAATATTATTTTATTTGATCCCACAGCACCCTTGGGAGGTAAGTGCTATTTGTCCCCATTTTACAGAAGAGGAAACTGAAGCAGACAGAAGGTAAGTGACATTCTCAAGATCACATGGCAGGAAAGTGTCTGAGGCTGAATTTTTATTCAAGTCTTTCTGACTCCATCTCTCTAAACGCAGTGTGTTTGCCAGTGTCCCTTCTAAAAATGGGACACAGAACTGAATTTAGAATCTAGAATCGTTTCACCAGTATACAAAATACAGTTATACTATTAGGATGTATTTTTAAAATAATGATAATAATCATACATCTATAGCATAGAATCATAAATCTAGAGCTAAATGATACTTCAGTGGTCAATTAATCTAGCACTCTCATTTTATAAATGAGGAAACAGAGGCTGAGGAAAGTTAGGTGATTTAGCTAAGGTATCACAGACTGTAAAAATCGCAAGTGGAATTTAAAATAAGATCCTCTGACTTCCAAATCAGTTCTTGTTCCACTGTATGATGCTGTCTCTTTAAATACTCATAGGCACTTTTAGATGCATTATCTCAAAACAACTCTGCTAAGAAACTATATGCAGATTGATATTCTTATTTCACTGATAAAGATACTGAAGCTTAAGGAGTCAAAGTGGATCCCAAACATTCAGATTCTTAATATGTTCTTCCTTTTATCACATTATTTTGGCCTTCTAAGATCTAGACACCAAAATTTTTTCATGCAGCATAAACTTTCAAGAGCTTTTTAGCAGTCACAGTACACTAATAGCTCATTATTAAATATCCCCTCCATCAGATATTTCCTGTTACTATATACCCATTTTTAGAAGGAAAATACAGGCAAGCCTTGAGATTCTAAATGATACCATTGCATGAGATTGAACATAGTTCTAAGCATGTAGTGGGTATTCAATAAATCCTCATTGGTTGAATAATACAAAACGTTATTAACCCAACCTTAAATTTAAGTAGACCTCAGGATCATAGACTGAAGGATATTTGCAATGTTAAAAAATTATATTGAGGAGGACTTTTATTTAAATCTGAAAATACAAACCCACTGGCATTTTCTTTCAAGTGACAAAAGGTAGATTAGTGATAGTTGTTGTATGTCACCAGTAATATCATTGGTCCTCTTTGAAAATGAAAGACAAACAACATTTGGGATATAGGAAAATCTAATTGATTTTTAAAGAGGATTTTTAAAAAACCCTATCTACAAAATTCTTCTTATATTTTTCAAGACTTATTGGAAGCATTAAAGACTGAATTTTAAATTCTGTTTATTTTTTATAGTTTTAACAACCACAAGGCAACTTTGTTAGCATTTGGAAACCACTCACCAAGGAACCCTTAAATTTTCAGAATGACTTACAATACCATAAAACTATACATTATAACCCATGATCAATTTTATTATACCCTTTAAAACAAAAGAAATAATGTTTTTAAAGTCTTGTGTCTTGTTATACATATTGTTACATAAAATTTCAAAAAAAATTAAAATAATATATCTAAAGGATTTTAATTATTAAACCATTTATATTTGGTTACAATTTGAAAAGTGTTGGCTTTCATTTTTACAATGCTCAACATAATAAATACATGACATCTAACTCAAGCAAAGCAACACATTGCTGAACATACCAAATTGTTCATCCATAATATACCTACAAGTATAAAAAAAAAACTCCACAACGTGTTTCCTGTGCATACCTGACCTATCATTTCTTTATGATTACAGGCAAGGTAAGGAGCAAAGAAGAGTAGGCTAATTGTTGAAATTATTTAGAACCTAAGGCTTTAGAAAGAGTACAGATTCAGAACCCTTAAACTTATTTACTTAATGGTAAAAAGAGAAAACAGCTATCATAAAAATATAGCTAAAAATGCCTCTGGCTTACAGAGGCTTTGGAATTCCTGGCATTCCAGCTATATCTGCTTGAGGCATATGAGATTCAGAAAAGATACAAACACAACGTTTCTTGACTATTTTATATTCAGTAATTTTTAATGAAGCCACTAAATTAGGCATAACTTGGTGAAGTTTTAATGTAGTTATGATGAATATATTTTACTTGATTAAAATGATAAACTCATGCAGCCTTAAATATTGTCTTAAAAGATTAACTACTGTCATTTACAAATCTGGGGGAAAGGTATTTATAAGTGAATGACTATTCTGGAAGGAAATTTCCTTTATGTTCAATCTATTTCTTTAATTTAATCAATCATGTTTCATGATTCATATTTAAAATGTCTTAAAGAGTACACTGACCAGCAATAAAGAATAAACTTGTTTGGGCAAACAAAGACTCAGTTGGAAGTAGGAATTCAGAAATTCATCCAGTTATTGTCATGAGTCACAGAAAACCATTTTGGAGAATCACCTGTCTCTTCTAGCTATATACTTTGAGCTAATTAACTAGATAATTGCCAGACCTAGATTTCACTTTGTGCTATGTAGACAGCACAAATAGCAACACAATTTTTTATGCTCATCCACCCACCAGATTGAAGGCCTTTGAATAGTTTAATTTTAATCCCTGAGAAAATTTACCCACAAGTAAACTTTACTTCGTTTGTACTGGACTGGCATTATTAGAATTAAAAATTAATAAGAGAATTTATGTAACAACTTTTACCTAAGAATTCCAGATTACTTTACCTACACCCAAACATGAATCATCTCCTTGAAACAGATAAAGTAATGTGTTCAGCTAACAACTAACATAGACAATTAGTTTACCATCCTCTCCTAACACTTCTCATAAATGTAAGGCTCAATTAGCACAATCCTACCTTCTTCATTCAGTTTCTTTAACCTCGAATCATGGGGACAATCTCACTTCCTTTTTATATTGTTCTTCAACTTCCTAGAACCCATAATCAGTAGGTCATATATTATCTGTACCCAAAAACACAAAATGCCATCTTAAAGGAAACCTGAGAGATAAGTTTAAAATGCTGGAGTGAAGAGGAGTGGTATGTGAAATATTTTTCAGAATGAGTTGACAGTTACTTTGAAAGAGTATTTTACTTGTGGTGAAAATGTCTTCTCATATACAGTACTATTGCTACTAGATACTACTACTACTAGTACAACTACTACTACTATTAATACTACTGCTGCTGCTGCTGCTACTGGTACTGCTACTACTACTACCACCACCACCACCACCACCACTAATAATAATAATAGCTTTTTATTATTATTATTATTATTATCATTTAAATTCCCTGTCAGAGATGCAGATTGAAAAGGGATTAGGAGAAGGCTTGCCATAAATTTAAAACCAGGAACATGCAAGATTTATGGCTGGGAAAACAGCACAAGATGTGGAGACAGGTTGGACCAAGAGAGTTCTGGGGTTTTTTGTTTGTTTGTTTTGTTTCTTTACTGTTTAGCTCCACAGAGACCTGAAAATTGGTGACTTAAACCTCTATCCTTGTTCATCTGTCCTTCCTCCTTTTCCCCAACCCGCTCTCAGCAGATGAGTCAGGGAATTTCACCTGCGGATCTGCTGGACCCTCAATCTCTCGCCTCTTTTCCTCTGACTGGCTTTCTCAGACTCTGTAATTCCGTCTTTCTCCCTCTCTCTCCCTGAGTCTCCCTGGAGTGGTCCCAGCCGGGCTGAGGGCAGCAGGCTGGTGATAGGCGGCGGCGCTGACAGGAGGAGGAGCCTAGAACTCGGGTCTAGCCCGCCCTCTGCTATAAGCCTCTTTGCAGCTTTCTCTCTCCATCTCCTCTCCTCCTCCTCTCTCTCTCTTTCTCTTTCTCTCTCTCCCTCTCTCCCTCCCTCCCTGAGCGTCCCTGTAACTGAACAGTGAAAATTCACATTGTGGATCCGCTAACAGGCGCAGATGTCATGTGAAAACGCACATGTTCTGCCATCCACACAGCCTTCCTTTCTTTCCTACCCCCCTCCTTTTTTGCTCCTTTCCCCTCTTCTTTGTAACTAACCAAACCACCATCAACTCCTCCTCCTTCTCCTCCTCCTCCTCCTCAGTCCAAGTGATCACAAAAGAAATCTTCTGAAACGGTGGTGGCATTTTTTTTTAAAGCAAGTACATTGGAGAGAAAGACAACAAAACAAAACAAACCCAGGCACCAATCAGACAACATATTTTCACCCTTCCTGAAAACAACAACAAACAACAACAAAACCCACCTGACCAAATAGTCACCACTACCACCATCATTATCATCATCATCACCATTATCATCAAAACCAGTTAAGACAGCAGAGGCCTCGATAGCCGCTCAGCAGCCAACACCAACAACTGGCAACAATAACAGCCTGGGAGGGATGGTTTTCTCGGCAGAACAGATCTTCGGCTGCAGCCTCCACTCGTGCTGAGAGGGGATTTTTGTGCTTTCCGAGGTGCGGGCTGGGAGCAGCTTCATGACTGCGCGGAGTGAGCGATCAGCAGCACCATGCGAGGTAAGGAAAGGGAACTCATGGGGGGAGGCGGAGTGGGCAGGTCGGGAAGCAAAAAGCTCTGGAGAGATGGGTTCGCATTTGAAGATGGGATGGCGTGAGAAGGGGGGAGGGAAGCGGTGGGAACGAGAAGCTCAGTGGAAAGTGAAGGAAAAGCCTGAGAACGGGGAATTTCACCGAGTTAGTGTTCATAGGGAGAGCTGAGAGTGGCCTTGTTGGATAAAGTTTTGGTGTTGCTGCTGCCTGAGTTTTGTTTGGGTAGGTGAGAAGAGGCTTTTGTTTGTTTGTTTGGTACTTAGGGAAGAGGGATGTTCTCTAGAACAAAGTGTATTTTCTACTTTAGTTACTTGCACTAAAATTCTCTCTCTCTCTCTCTCTCTCTCTCTCTCTCTCTCTCTCTCTCTCTCTCTCTCTCTTTCTCTCTCTCTCGTTTTCTATGGTCATGGGAGAGGGGGTAGGATGGCCAGGGAAAGGGAAAGAGGGAAAGCATTTTATCCTAGCAATACCACTTGGCAAAATGCAACAAGAGCCACACATGCTTGCTGGTCGCCAACCTCGGCTTGGGAAGATTGGGGGACAGCAGCCACTCCTGGGAGCTGGGGATGGGCGGATTAGCCGCGTGCAAACCAACTACTGGACCATCGTAGGGAAGCGTGATTGCATTTTCCCTGAGCATGTAAATGTTTGTTGGCTGGGGGGTGGGAGGGTGGGGGGCAGGAGAGAGCTAGAGTGGGGGAGGGGAAGAACAGGTACTATAGGGCATGGGTCAAACTGTGGGCAGACTTGTCCCCTTCTTATCACTTGCCGCACCTCAGCCCAGAGGCATCGTTGTTTCTGGGGCGCTGAAGAGGCCGAGGGGGAGAGGCCATGTGGTGGGGGTGGGGGGAGTTGTGTTTAAGAAGTTAGTGCTCTCAGCGACTGAGCTTGCTAGAGTTGGCTAGGGAAGGCAGCAGCTACTTGGCTTCCTTGAGCGCTTCCCCTCCCTCTACTTTTCAAGTAAGAGAGGGTGAAAATAGAACCATGACACCCTCTGTAGCTTCTGGGGGTAGTGGGGGGGCGGGGAGGTCTCAGAGGTGGCGTGCTCTGGCGGGGGTCTATCTTAGGAGACACCTGTACAAAGTTATTTTTGTCTGCCTCTTCCCCTCCCGTACTCCCTAGATTCAGGATTGTCAAAATATTATCTCCCTTCGTGCGAGTCGATTCCCCCACCCCATTCTCCTCCTCGTCCTTCTCACAACCTTCCTCCTCCTCTTCCTCCTTTCTCTTATCCCCACTCTTCTTTTCCCCTAGAACTTGGAGCTGACTCATTCTTTTTCCCTTCCGCCCCGCAGGCTCCTTGCATGTCAATGCATCAGGGGACTAGCTGGAAAGGGAGCTCTCTCCTCTCTGTATGTCCTCCTCTCACGTAGTCGGGGTCGCTTCTGGTTACTGACATTCCCTCCCCCACCTCTTAAACTCTAGCGCCGCTTCTCTGGGTCTCCTTTAGCTGTCCTTTCCTCTCTCCTAACCCGCCACTACTCCTTTACCCCTTCATCCCATCCCTTCATCCCCGCAATCCCACCAAAACACTTTCTGCTACACCATGACAGCCAAAGTTAGGAATAGCGCCCGAAACGCTTCAGCTTCCGCCACTTAATGACTTTGAAAGGGAGCTGAGAGTTAGAACAGCAACTACATTTTCTCTGGTTTCTTTCTTTTCCCACACACCCTTCCATCTGTAAGATGTTGGGCTGCAGCTGGGGCCCACGCTGGACAGGAGGGTCTTAGCGGAAACTGGGGGGTTGCCGACCCTCTTCCTCCTCCCTCTGCCAAAGGGGAAAGAGCATTAGTTATCATCTGCCCTGTTCCCTTCCAGACCACTGTCCTTAGCTTCTCACTGAAGTTTGATCCCTGAACAACTGATAGGAACAGCCACCCCTTCTAGGTTGGGAACTCGACTTTAGGATGGGGATCCGCCGTGAGTGTGCACAAGTTTGTGTCTGTTGGGACAGAAGGGGGAGGGTCCACGTATAACTGCGTTACACTGAAGAGAGCTGGATGGCTGGTGGTGAGAAACACCCGTGGGAGAGTTCGTGAGTTCCGTGGATGATAGATTAACCTGAATGGGGCAGGGGACTAGAGTCCGAGCTCCTGGTCCTTGTGCTCTGTGTGTGTGTGTGTGTGTGTGTGTGTGTGTGTGTGTGTGTGTGTGTGGTTCAAGGCTAGTCACGTGTTTCACTGACCAACTTCTCTGAAGAAGCTGGGGGGCGGGCAGGGAGGAGGAGGGTCACTGTCCCTTCTCCTTCTCCTCCCCCCCTCAGTACTTGGTACACACAGAACGATTGCTCAACGTTAAGAAGCCCCAGATCCCCTTCATTTTTTTTTTCTGTCACGTTCCTGTCCCCTCTCTTTTTCTTCCTTCTTTTCCTGGGTAGCAGAAAACTGCTTTTCCTGATACGTTAGCTCACATGGGGCGGGGCGGGGGGGGTAAAAGGAGGGGGACGCTTACACTGTTTTGAACTGCAGCACCGCCGCTCGAGGCTTTAAAGTCCTCCCCCCGACACACACGCACACACACATAAAATTGAAAATAAATAAATAAAGCTGGCAGGGGGAGAGGCGGGAGGGGGGACGGCGGATAGCCCTATGGCTTCTTTCAGATTGCCAAGATTAAACAGGTTTTTTTTTACGTGTCAATAATATTCACTTTGGAACTCACTGGAGTGCTAGACTTACTGTACCCATAGGGCTAATGGATGAGAAAGAATTTATTGATAATCTCTCGCTCTCTCTCTCTCACACACACACATACACACACATACACACTGCACACTAAATTTCCTGACTTTCAAATTTTTCTATTGCATTTTGTTTATAGCTAACAAAAAGAAAAAGAAAAAAAGAAAGAAAAGAACAACCACCGCCACCACCCCCACTACTTATGCCAAGAAATTGTGGCTTTATCTTTCTTTCCCAAGGCATACAGGACACTCGAGAGAGAAAATATTAAAAAAGGAGAAGTACAACAGACCAGCCCCCGCCCCCCCTTATTACTCCTCCCCTTCACCCTCAGTGAATTTTCTTTAGGATGCCCTCCAATCAGTGATTTTTGAAAACGTGGGCCTGAGGGGAAAGGACACAGTTGAGAAAATATCCTGTCTACTCTAGTCGCCTTTGAATTTGTACTGAATATAAGTGTGAACTTGGGCAAGGGATGGGGGAGGGGAGGCGCAGAGATCAGCTTTTGATTCTAGGTCTGAGCTCCTTATCAGACTGAGGAAATCCCCACTCCTTCTTTGCTATAAAGAAGATGTTATATTATATACAATAATAAGATAGATTTTTACAGTTGCAGAGGACTTTGGAGATGAGCCAAGCTCAACCTCCTTATTTCACACAAGGGGAAACTGAGGCCTAGAGGCTTGCCCCAAGGTCACAGACAGTAAGTAGCAGAGCCAGGATTAAAGCCTAAATCTTCTTGGGGACCCAACGTGTGCTTTTTGTTTTGTTTTCATATCCCACCCCCTCAATCCCAATCCTACCTGGGTAGTTTCCAATACAATGCCTGGAGTCCTGGTTTGCCTGCAGTTTGTAGCTGGGGTGGTAAACTCCTAAGGCACTTGGCTTTCGGCAAATGAGTAGAGAGACTACTGATTCTGATCCATATGCCGCACTCCCAAGGGGACCACAGTACACCTCCTTGTCCTGAGTTGAGTGGAAGACTCAAACTCACTTTACAGAATGCCCTAGTGGGACTGGGACTAGGGGAAGAAGAAAGTGACGAATTTAGTAGTCTGCTGACTCCCGGACTTGGCTTCTTCCCCTCACCCCCAACAGAATTTAGAGATGAGAGTGAACTGTGTCCCTTTATTTGGGGTTGGAGGAGGAGGGTGGTTTTATTTCTTTTAGATTATTTCCCTCTTTGTCTGAGTGGGGTGCGGTGTGGGTTTCTCAGCAAGGAGGGCAGAGTCGTCTAAGAAAGCTTCTTCGCATATCACCATCGTTTGCATTATTTAAAAGAATGCCTTCTGAGAACGGGTTTTAATTGGGTCTGTGCATAGATGAAAAACCAGTTTAAGCCTGGATTTAGGTCTTCCAGAGAGACAGGTGAGTTGTTTCTTATATGGGAATATAACTCTGCATCGTATTTTCAGTCATTTCATAAAGCACTACCCCTAACCATCAGGGGAGAAATCAGGGTACTAGATTCGAAATCAGAGGAACTAGGTTCCAATACTAGCTCAGTTACTTAATTATGCATAGTACCTAGCCACTTAACCTCTGTGGGCCTCAGTTTCCTAATCTGCAAAATGAGGACAAGTTTGTCCTTAAAATTTCCCTTCCAGATCCTAAATGTAATTGTAACTGACAGATTACCATAGTTTTAACAAATTTTAAACAGGTTGTAAACGCAGTTGTATCCCTAGATTTGTGACCTCCGGATTATTATCTATTATTTAATTTCTTTTCGTTTTGATTAGCTGATCTCTTTTATTTTAAGTGCTGTTTATAGAGACATACCAGCCCCTCCTTCAAGGTACTTGCCTGCAGAAATAAAGTCATCTAGATTTGTAGGCACTTTGAGAACCTTCAGAAAATGTGTTATTGGTCTATAAAAATTCTCAATAATAATTAGATATTTCTAATCAATCTCTCTCCTTCCTTCCACCTACCCCTTTAAAAAGTTCATTCCAACAACATCTCTTGTTAGTGGCCCATTAATAATTTCTCATTAAAGTAGTTTGAAAATCATCCTAATGGCCATAGACTCAAAGTTATCTACAAAAAGTCCCATTAAAGCTGTTCTGAAAGCTGTGTGTCAGGCATTAGAGAAATGTTATTCAGAGAAACAATAATCCATCCTTATGCTTTTAATTTGTGTGAAACTATCTTACTAGGCTGTTTATTAACAATTATTACAACACAGAGAAGGTTAACAATTAAGCAACTAGGAACTTTCTGAGATGACTGTTATCAATAAACCATTTTAAAATTTTTATGTGCTCTTAAATATTAATTTTGTT